ATCCCCATGTGGCTTGCTAAGGCAATTTGTTTTAATATATGTAAACAGCATCAGTTGCTATGGGCATGCTCACTATATTTATTAAATAAATAAAAATGGCAGTTAGATTTAGTGCCATAGGCTGGAAAAGACATTCCCTTACCATATTAGTTTTTCAAGGTCACACGGTGGTTAATTAAATATAAAAATACAGTGAACCAAATAGAGTTGAGTTTAAGGACATTTCAACAATTACAAATTGTCTTTTTATTTTTCCATATCTGTGGACTCATGACCAATCCTGAAAAATGTATGATTGAGAGGTATCGAACAGGAGACAGAATTCATGGGTTTTATTCCAGATTCTGCCTCCTGGTTGCTGTGACACTTCAGCAAGTCATCTAAAATATCCTGTCACCCCTCTCCCCCTGATTTCCTGAACTATTTCTCTAGGGTTTTTTTCTGTTACATTTCTATAAAAGCTAGAGCTAGCTGGAAAATGTGTTCTTTTTTAAATGACACTGTTAAAAGGCATCTGTGTGTTCAAATATTTTTCAGTGACAATTTGCCAGTCTATTAGGAGGCAGTCAGAAAATGAAAACAAACAGACAAAAAAAAAAGCTGTTTTTTTGGTTTACTACTTTCAGACAAACTTTAATGAATAATGACGTTCGTTATTAATCCCTGCTACCCTCTTTGCTAGCATTAACTCAACCCTTACCCTTTTGTTTTATGTATATATTTATTTTGTATTTTTAAAACCTCAGATTTTTGAGACAGTCATTGGAAAATCACACCGGCCATTTTCTCCTTGCATTCTTTTCCAGGTCTGCTACAGTTAGTATGTGTTCAGTAGTATATAGTAGTATTCAGAATAATACTGTTTTCTACATAAAAACCAAATCTGTCTTTCTACCTCTGGATTTTAGGGTATGTCTAAACTATATCCCTCTTTCGAAAGAGGGATATAAATGAGACATATTGAAATTGCAAATGAAGCCAGATTTGAATTTCCCATGCTTCATTTGCATAATTGCATCATGGTCTTTTTTCCCTGAAAATCGCTATTTCGAAAGTGAAACCGCGGTCTAGAGGCAGTTCTTTCGAAAAGAAAAACCTTTTTCGAAAGCTCCTGTAAACCTCATTTTACCATGACGCATTATGCTAATGAAGCACAGGAAATTCAAATCCCAGCTTCATTGGCAATTTCAATATGTCTAATTTACATTTCTCTTTCAAAAGAGGGATGTAGTCTAGACATAGCCTTACTGTGTAGATTGCTTAATTTTTCAGAACTTTCTTTTGTGAATCCATTGTCTATTACACTGAATATAAGTAGCTCATAGGCATTAGTTCTAAAGTCCATTCCTCCCTCCCTTTCACCTCTGAGGAAGTGAGTTGTAGCTCACAAAAGCTCATGCTCTAATACCCTGATGTTAGTCCTTAAAGTAGCATCGGACTCTTTATTTAAACCTGTTTTTCTCCTGTTCTCAGACTTCCTATCTGTTAAGCCCTGTCTATGCAAGCAGATTGCATAAGTTCAAGCTCTGTCCGCTGGTGAACTTCCTGCTACAAGTAATAAACAGGGCAAAATTGTTAGAAGGTCTGATCTCAACTTTTCATTTGAATTTACTTTGAATGGATGAACCGTTATCAATGAACCGTTAATGAGAAGGTCCTAGAAGTATCAGACCATGTAAACTTGAGGATTGCATCAAGTGGGAAACTTAAATCAACCAATGAAACTCCTGTGCAGCAAGAAAGTGCCTCTTGATCTGATAGTTGTTCTGAAGGGTTGTGTCTAGACTGGTCCGTTTTTCCGGAAAATCAGCCACTTTTCCGGAAAAACTTGCCAGCTGTCTACACTGGCCGCTTGAATTTCCGCAAAAGCACTGACGGTCTCATGTAAGATTGTCAGTGTTTTTGCGGAAATACTATGCTGCTCCCATTCAGGCAAAAGTCCTTTTGCGCAAAAGGGCCAGTGTAGACAGCCCAGATTTGTTTTCTGCAAAAAAGCCCCGATTGCGAAAATGGCGATCGGGGCTTTTTTGCGGAAAAGCGCGTCTAGATTGGCACGGATGCTTTTCCGCAAAAAGTGCTTTTGCGGAAAAGCGTCCGTGCCAATCTAGACGCTCTGTTCCAAAAATGCTTTTAATGGAAAACTTTTCCGTTGAAAGCATTTCCGGAAAATCATGCCGGTCTAGACGTAGCCAAGATGTATAATTTTTTATTGAAGGATGAGCACTGAATTCACACTTGTTTTCAATGTTGTTCATTGAAACAGGAAGTGAAGGTGTCTCATCTCTTCATTCTGAAGTACAAATTTTCCGTACTTATTTTAATTGAGTGTGCTGATTGCTTTGTGGGTGAATTAAGTCTGTCAAGTTTAGTTTATCTAGCCGAGTTGTTCACACATCTCCACGAAATGAACGCTGGTTACTGGGGTGAAAACTAACCCTGTTAATGTTCATGACGACACAAAATCAACAGTAAAGAAACTGCAGTTCATAGTACAAGACAAAGAAGAGAGAAATTGCCAAATCCATTCACTCAACCATGAAACATTCTCCATATTGAAAATTCATCTTGGCTCCATTGGTGACAGAAAAGACCAGTGCCTGAATTTGGTCACCAGTTGAAGCTGATTGATATCGCCTTTTGCTGAAAGCACTGTTGTCCAGTAGCAAGCACACCCTTCTCATCTATGGCATGGTGTTCATTTTCTCCATGCCTACTAAACAAAACAACATTTTTTTCTTTATTTAAGAGTTGTAACAAGAAAAGCAAAGTGAACATTGGCTCATATTCAACAATAATACAGGTAAGGGATAAGCAGGATCTTCAAGTTCAGCAAAATGAAAGCCAATTTGTAAGAATGGCTTCTTCTCTGTATTTTTTTCCATGCAGTGTCTAAAAACTTGAGATGTGAAAATGGATGTTAAAACTCAACATTTCAGGCTTCCTTTGGCATGTATTTTGATATAAAGTGTCCAAAAATACATATTTTAAACCTATTAAGGTGTAAAAAAAATGTACACAAAATGGAGAAATTGGCATATGGTACTTCAAACAATGGTTTTAAGGAATGTGGCATGTAAACTAACAAAGTTTAGGTACCAGTTGTTCAGGTCAAAGAACCAATTGATGGCCTCTAGCACCTCTTCAGCATAACAATACCCATGTCAGCTTTACCTAGTTCCCATTATAGCTTTAAAATCCCAGAACCCTGAATGATTTATCTCCCAGACAGAAATAAAGAGAGGAGAGGATGTGGAGGCAAAGAGCACCTGACATCAGAGGGAATGGGAGACAGAGCCCATGGCACGGGGCAGGAAGGGGGGGGGGGGGGGGGAGGGGCCACGTGAG